AAGTGTGAACAGGCAGGAACATAACAAGAGAGAAGGGTGTGAAGAGCCAGGAGGGGCATGGGCAGTTAAGAGAAAAGGCCATGGACAGGTCATAGGGATTTTAGACAGGCAAGAGGAGCATAAAAAAGTAGGAGTGAGCCGGGCGGTGGTGGCGCACACCTTTAATCCCAGCACTCGGGAGGCAGAGCCAGGCGGATCTCTGTGAGTTCGAGGCCAGCCTGGGCTACCAAGTGAGTTCCAGGAAAAGGCGCAAAGCTACACAGAGAAACCCTGTCTCGAAAAACAAAAACAAACAAACAAAAAAAAACAAAAAAAGTAGGAGTGAGAGGCATAGACAGGTAAAATGCGGGCCATACACACGGAGCAAGGAAGGGAGACAGGTAAGAGGGGAGTAGAGAGTAGTAGTGAGGGGAGCCAGCAGCAGAAAGGGAAGGGTGAAGACTGTGAGGGCATCACATAGGTGAGACTACAGAGTACAGGGAACGGAGAGGAGAGCTTTGGTGGCACTAATGGCCACACTAATGATTCCTCCCTTTCCTGTTCTCTTTTATCACCTCCTTCATGCCAGGCTATCCCTTCTTTACAAGAAATCAGATAATCCATTTTCTTAAACTGTCAGTGTAGAGTTCACAGGCAAGGCCTCACTTTCTCTGACACTGCTCTAAAGTCCTAGTCTGAACTTTGCTCTTAGGTTTTTGCCATCAACACTTAGCCAAACACATTTTATGGTATAAAAGCTTAAAAACCAATGAGTGCCTTGGGATGTATACTCAATTAGGTAAAACAAATATAAAAAACAATAAGCCACAAATGTCCTGGGTAAAGTCTCTTTTTCTGTGTAATACAAAGAACATGAGGAGGGTAGATGCTACCCAACTGGAATAAATGCCTGTCTATGTCTTAGCTGTCTACCTTCTTCGCTCCATGTCCATGGTCCTCATTCTACCTGTCCACAAGAGTCTCAGCCAATGGCGGGTCAACAAGAGGCTTCAGTGGCCTCTCATGTCTACAGACAATAGGGTCCTGCGTCACCAGAACCTACAACACAGGAACCATATACAATGCCTTCTAAATCAGCTGTAATTTTTCCTTTATTTAATTTTGTTGAATGGATTACTGAGTGGTCAGCCATGAAAAGACTTAGGCCTAATGGTAAAACCCTCAAATTTACAAACAAAAAAACTGAGCTCTAGGAAGCTCTTTAGGGTGTCTGTTAAAACTGAAGACTCAGGTTCTGCCAGCAATGACATAAAAATATTGGAACAGAGCTGGGCGGTTGTGGCGCACGCCTTTAAACCCAGTACTCGGGAGGCAGAGCCAGGAGGATCTCTGTGAGTTCGAGGCCAGCCTGGGCTACCAAGTGAGTCCCAGGAAAGGCGCAAAGCTACACAGAGAAACCCTTTCTCAAAAAACCAAATATATATATATATATAAACAGCTATTGTACCAGAAGTGTTAGAACCCCAGACAGAGATGGGTACAGGACATAATCAAAGTAACATTATACATATTGAAGCATCTGGACCCTTAAAAAAGAGTAGACCTTTCAACAGTGATATATAAAGTAATAGCATATGAGGGCTGGACATGGTGCCATGCCTTAGTAGCCACAATGTGCTAGGAAGCCTGGGGCCATCCATGACATGACCTAGTTCTCTGTACATTTGTATTAATAAAAATATTAAATATATTTCTCAACTTTAGAAAAATAATTTTTAGAGAAGGCATGCTCTGTAAACAGGAGATAAACAAAAGGGTCTGTAATGGTCTTCCCAGTTGGTACTCCAGCACCTCCTAACACACTACATTTATCTCAATAATTAAGAGTTTGTAAGAAGATCAGGCATGGTGGGACTGGTAAGGGCCATATAAAAAACCCCAACACATAGCAGACAGTCAGACCTTCCCTTCTATGAAGATTGACTGCTGTGGATGATTAATTAAAACACTGATTGGCCAATAGCCAGGCAGGAAGTATAGGTGGGACTAACAGAGCGAAAAATTGAGAGAACAGGAAGGCAGGAGAGAGACCTGCCAGCCACTGCTGCTATGACAAACAAGATGTAAGGTACCGGTAAGCCACGAGGCAACTTATAGATTAATAGAAATGGGTTAATTTAAGATAGAAGAAGTAGATAACAAGAAGCCTGCCACAGCCATACACTTCATAAGTAATATAAGCGTCTATGTGTTTAAATAGGCTGTGGGACTGCCAGGGTTTGGCGGAACCCAGAGAGAAAACTTTCCAGTTACAATTGACTCTGAGCCTAGAGGATGTCACTCAATGGGAAAGGGATAAGCAGAGGTCCCTAGCAATCACCACTTATGCCATACTCATGTCTGAAGCATTTACTCCTGGAGTCCCTAGGTCCAGTTTGGGAGTTGCATGTGACCCAAGAGAAAGAGCCCATATGTGTTGTTGCCATACCCTAAAGCTTTTGTCACATAAGCCATCCCAAGGTTTTGACCAGCTAGGATCCTAAGAGGTAGACAGGCATCCATGCCATACTCTTGTAAAACCAGGTTCAAGGTCTGTACTTCCTCCCATATTCTTGGGAGAACCAGGGAGGCCTATCACAAATAGCTTGGACTTTCAGAAAATAGCAGGTGGTCCTACTACTCTTTCACTGCCACAGAAGTATCCAAAAGGACCTATCCATTCATGATTGGCCCCAGGAAGCACAAGTGTTGGCCTTCAAAGGCTCCTGGGAAGTACCCAGATCTCTCCAGTTCACCTTAGCACTAAATATCAGCTGAGCAACTCATTTTCAAAAGCCTGACCATGCCGGGCGTTGGTGGCGCACGCCTTTAGTCCCAGCACTCGGGAGGCAGAGCCAGGCGGATCTCTGTGAGTTCGAGGCCAGCCTGGGCTACCAAGTGAGCTCCAGGAAAGGCGCAAAGCTACACAGAGAAACCCTGTCTCAAAAAAAACAAAAAACAAAAAACAAAAGCCTGACCAACTGAGGCCTTGAGAAACAGCTGGGCAGACCTCTCTGGACAGGTCAGCCCCAGAGTTACCAAAGTCTTAATTTACAAAGGAAGCATGGGCTTTATGACCCTAAATATTCACCTTATTCCCACAAACACAATTGTGTTATCTTTTTATTTCCCAGAACTCTAGTCTTGGGACTGAGTTCCTTCTGTCTCCTGGGGTCTACTTTATAGCTCTTCAGGACATGGACCTATCACCTGAATCTTACACACTTCTCCATGTTAACTAGCCCAATTTTATGGGGTGTCCCCCAGTAAAATTCTGGTAAATGTTTTATGATTATTTGAATACTTCTTAGAAAAGGTCCAATATACATTCATACACAATCAACATAGTCTACACTGACAAGCACAGAATTCTACATTCAGTAGTTCCTATGATGGGTGTGGTGGTGCACACCTTTAAGTTCAGCACTCAGGAGGCAGAGGTAGATGGATCTCTGTGAGTTTGAGGCCAGCCTGGTCTACGTGGCAAGTTCCAGGCAGCCAAGGCTATATAATGAGACCTGTCTTGAAAAAACAAATTTATTAAATATTTTCTATGAGGATTTTGAAGCTTAAACTTGGAAGATTAGGGCATTCTACAGTCAGAAAAGCCTGGCCACCTGGGAAGGACAAGACAGCACCTTGAGTGGTGAATAAGTGAAGAGTGGGAATTCAGTTAACATGCTTTTTTCCTTTAACTTTTCCTAACGTTCAAATTTCTTTATTTTTAACAGTTACGATTATTTTTATATTAATTTTTCTAGTTACTGTACAAAATAATGAGTTTTATAACTATTTTCACACATATGTATTATTGTACTTTGCTCACATTCACCACCGCCCCACTACCTTTTCTTGGCTCTCCTCTCCCCCAATTTGTTTATGAATAGTCGAGCTTATTTAAAATGACATCATGCCTGAAATCTCTGCACTCAGGAGGCTGAAGCAGAAGGATGTTGAGTTGGAGGCTAGCCTTGGCTACATAGTGAGATCTTGCATCAAAAAAACCCAACAATAATGATGATGATAATAATAATAATAATAATAATAATAATGCAATTTTCAAAATAAAATTTTAAAACATAGTTTTCCATATACACAAAACCTAACCTCCTAGGGAGAGATTCTGAACTCATACTGGGCATTCACTATATTGAATGAAAGTTGCTTTCTCAGAAGACACAAAACAATGATCCACGTCTCAAGCCATCTTGATGTACTGAGAGTACAGTGGTTCTGTTGGTACGGTGCTACCTTCCTGCTCTCACAGGCACAGTTGTATGGGACAGTCACAAACTGCCCAATGTCTGTTTTGTGCACATTCAAAAATTCACTTAGTGTACTCCTTTCTATTCACAGTATGCAACCCTGTGACAGCAACATGAAGCCAGGGCTCTGTGGCAGATGCTGGGCCTTGACTGCCTCTGTACAAGGTGACAAGACAGTCTCTGCCTGCCTGTGGGGAATAGACAGGGGACCCCACAGAGGAAAACCATAATCATTAACTCCATGATGCCCATAAATCCTCATTCAATAGAATTGATGAGATATAAGTTAGTGGCTATGAGGTGAGCCTATGTCTGGTCTCACACCAGCATACCAGTATTACCAGCATCCTCTATCTACTTCTATATCCACTCTTCATGCAGAACCACAGCCACCCTTTATCCACGGTCATGGCCACTCTCTGTCCACTGCTAAAGCAATTGTGTATTTGAGTCTGGGGCCACTGTGGCTGCCCATGTTCTGTATATCTACCTGGGACATGATAAAGAAACACAGCATAGAGACTATAATGCTTTCTTTGGTACCTGAGATAATGTCCTACATTGACCTGACCCATGAAAGAACAAAACAACATGGGTATGCCCCAACTAGACACTTTCTAGTTAATAATGTGTAGATGACTGAAGATACAAAGACCACACCCTGACAGAAAATGTCAAGAAGTTGGACATGGTCCCAGGGGGCTCTAACCTGAAGCAGTTGAGCCTATACAAGGTCAAACACCCAGTGGTTGTCACCTGTGTCAATAGCTGATCAGACGTCAACTGGTTGATCCAACGTGTGTATCGCTCTGTAGAGTCTGGAGGGTCTCTCTTCACTTGGCATCCTATGATCTGTGAAGAAGAACAACAAATAGATTTTAAGGTTCTGTAAGTAAGTGTGAAATCCATGGATTGGGGGCTGATTTAGGCAAAAATCCCTGGCATCAAGAGGTAGAGAGAACAGAATGTCAGGCCCACATGCGGCAGTCCTAAGAAGTGTCTTAATAGTGAAAAGCTAATACTGCCCTCAGGTAGCCCTAAACATCATTCCCCCTTGCATGCAATCAGATTAAGATGAGCCGGATATGAGCTCCCAACACCTGAATATTTCCAACAACTCACTTTGTGAACTATTGATAACTTTGAAAAATTATCACCAGTCATTGAGAATATTCTGGGCTCAGTCTTAAGAAAATAGAACCATGAATAAAGATGGGTTGAAATTACAAGTTCAAGTACTTCAAGGCAGCCTCCTTCCATCCAGATTCTTCTCTTTACAAGGCAGCACCCTAATCCCACATTTCCTTTCCAGGGAAAAGATGGCATTGTGTGGTGGTTTGAATAAGAATGGTTCCCAAAGGTTCACAGATTTGAATCTTGGTCATCAGGGAGTAACGCTACTTGGCAGGGATTAGAAGGTCTGACCTTGGAGGAAATATGTCACTGGGGGTAGGCTTTGGGGTTTCAAAAGCTCAAACCAGGTCCAATGTCTCTCTCTTCCTGCTGCCTATGGACTCTGATGTAGAACTCTCAGCTACTTCTCCAGCACCATGTCTGCCTATATGCTGCCATGTTCCCTTGCCATGGTAATAATGGACTAAACCTCTGAAACTGTAAGCAAGCCCAGGTTAAATGCTTTTTTTAAAATAAGAGTTGCCTTGGTCATGGTGTCTCTTCACAGCAATAGAAAACTGACTAAGATAGCATGTCCCATTTCAGAACATAGCTCTACCTCAGAATATGTCCTATTGCTTCAAAAGCATGGCTTCTTTTCAGAATGGCTCCTGTCTTAATTAAGGCTTTTATTGCTGTGAAGAGACATCATGACCACGGTAACTCTTATAAATGAAAACATTTCATGGAGTGAGCTCCCTCACAGTTTCAGAGGTTCAGTCCATTATTATCCTGATGGGCAGCATGGTGGCATGCAGGCAGATGTGGTGTTGGCTACATATTGGATTACAGCCAAAAGCAAGTCACACTGAGGGAAGCTTGAGCAAGAGACTTCAAATCCGCCCCCATTGTGGCACATTTCTTTCAACAAGGCCACACTTCCTAATAGTGCCACTAGCTTTGGGGGCCATTTTATCCAAACCACCACAGCTCCAACCTCCTCAGAAAATGGTCCTATATCAGAATGCACCCCTACCCCACAACACATCCCAATCCTTTCAGAACATGTCACACTTCCTCAGAACACTGTACCATCTCATAAAACATTCTCTTGGAATATGTCTCCATCATTTCAGAATAGGGTACCACCTGAGAAAAAAATCTCCACTTCAGAAAACATCCCCATAGCTCAAAACACATCCCCATTTTAGAACATGTTCCCGTTCCCTTACAGCATGGTCTCATCTCAAAACATATTGCTACTTCCTCAAAATACAGCCGCATGTCAGAACTTGTTTCCATGTCTTTTGGCTGAAGCTCACGGCATCTCAGTAGGGTCTATCTCTGGGGAGTTTTTGAACAGTCCTAGTATTAGCTGGGTGAGATGCAGATTCCACTAGAACGGCAAAAAGGAGGTGGAGGAAGTGTAGTATCTATTGGCCTAGGTAAGCTGATTGTATGTATGCAAATGAGGCACAGAACAAGGACTAATCAGGAGGGAGCTGTCAAACCCAGGAAGCAAAAGCAAAAGCTCTCCAAAACCTTGAGAGGGTTCTCAACTTGGTTCAGTTCTGTTCCTTTTCTGCTCCCACCCTTGATATTACAGCCATGTTACAGTGGAAGGAAAAAAAGAGAGAAATGGAGGAAGAAATGTGAAGACCATTCCCGACTGTTTTCCCATGGGTGCTGGTTGTGACTGAGGTCAGGCAAAGCAGTCCATTGTGCCTGTAGAGTTAGTACCTCGGGGAGCTGTGGGCTGTCAAATGGCAGCCAATTGCTATCAGTTCCAATTGTCTCTGGGAGCCATTTACCACCATTTACCAAGGCTGAGCAAAAGCAGCCTGTTGCTGACATCAGAAACTGAAGGTGGAACTGAAACTCTATTACCATCTCATAACCTGTCTCTGTCGCCTCAGAACATGGCCTCACCTCGCATCCATTCACACTTCAGAACCTGTCTCCATCTCAGAACACGTCCATTCCTACCTCAGAATGTGTCCCCACCTCAGAAAGCACCCCCATCCCAGAACGTGCCCTACTTCAGAACATGGTCATCAACATTCACACCAATATCACCTGGTGTGGTGCCACATGAACTTCCTGCTGTGACACCTTTTCTGCTCCAGGTCGCGGCTGTGCTGTCTCCTGACCTCAAGCATGACTTCCTCTCTCTCAGCTTCTTCCTTCTACCTAGGCACTAACCTTGGCCCCTGGCATCATAATCTGGATGAACTACCTATGCTTTCTGCTGAAAATGTACTAACATCAGGTCTAAACACTTCCCAGATGCTCAAAGTTCCAGAGAAAGATTGGTCCCTATGTAGATCTTGGAGGCTGCATTCAGATACCAGCTTTATGGCAAAGGATTGGTGGTTATGGGTATATGGGTGGGGCGGGTCATAGCAAGAGGAGCAGAGTGTTTTTCTTGTGTCTGGCCAGGAGAGGGTCTATAGGAAGGGTCTATTAGACCTGTCTATAGGAAGCAGAGAACACTTTCTAGTGGGGCCCCTTCAGAGGACATTGTACTTTTGACACCAGTGTCAATTTCCCCTGGGCTGCTAGTTGAAAGCAAATTACTTATTATTCTCTCTTTCATCTTTCCTCTCCTCTGTCTTCTCTTTAATTTTGTTTTTATTTATTTTTTAATAGGGTCTTCCTATGTAGACCAGGCTGGCCTTAAACTCTGTCAGCCTTGGCTCTTGACTACTTGGATTACAGGTATGCACCACCATGCCCAGTTTGCTCCCCTCTCTCAGAGAAGACTCTGATGTGAGGTCACCATTGTCTCTGCATGATCCCCAGGGCTGTTTGTGGTGGTGTTCTAATTGTACTGAAATGTGATTTTGATTGTATGTTAATAAATAAAGTTATCCGGGGGTCAGAGCTATTAGAGCCATAGCAAGAGTGTGGCGGTGGTGGCACACGCCTTTAATCCCATAGATCTCTGTGTGTTCAGGGATTATTTTCTCTGATTTGTCATTAGGTATTTATTACTTGTATATATTGTATATAGTTATTGTACTTTTGTATATAGTTTTTCTTTTGTTAGTTATAACCTTTTGCTTTTTTTTTTCTTTTTATTAAAATAGAAAAGGGGAAATGTGGTGGTATTCTAATTATACTGAAATGTGATTTTGATTGTATGTTAATAAATAAAGTTATCCGGGGGTCAGAGCTATTA